TGATTTTATTATATGCATTTGAAACATCTCACATAGAAAGAGTTCATCATTGATCTTTTGTGCAATCACACGGGAACTGTGCATGAGCAGGCCTGCCATTGGATAGGTTTTTACACCTAAGAGCTTCCAGGGGATGCTGCGTGCCAGAGCCAGAAGTTTGTTTCCCCCCAGGGACCACGTGCTTCTGCGCAGCAGTGCCCCCTCTACCCCCAGTTCCTCTTTTGCCACCAAAGGAGTAAGACATGCATTAGATTCTCCAGCTATTATTAGGATTTAACCTAAGATCGTGGAAGCTACACTGGCTTCTGAGTCATCAACATGGCTCAGACAACACTTTTTAAGAAGTGCTCCCATTGCGAAGCGAAGATTACCCAGACCGATGAACACTGTTCTGTCTGATTGAAGGGCATAGTGTGGCCACATGTAAGCCTACCAGTGCTTCACCTAAAGGCCTGGGTTGATAGGATGTCAAAATTGAAGGCAGATTTGTGGGGGAAAGCCCTTAAAGCATTTGAGCCTCCAACTAAAACAGCTCAGGAAAAACCACCAAAGTCAGCATCTTCGGAGTCAACACATTCGACTCCACCATGTCTCAGCGAGCCCAATCGTGGTCACGTTCTTCTCAAAGAAGACAGGCAACTTGTTTGATAGAATAGGTGCAGTAGAAATGACTGTAGAATGTATAGAGATTAGAACGTATTGATAAAAGAAAGCAAAAATGTGTTATTTTGTTAGTTGCTAAGTAGTCAGTTTTCAGGATGTTGTTGACTCATGAGCAACATAATAATATTTATTATAGCTGAACTTAGTATTAAGCATATGGCGGATGTTAGCAGAAGTATGTAAGATTTTTAACTGGAAATATAAGTTTAACTTCACCTTTTCTCCTTTTCTTTGTGCTATTTTTTAGTTAAAGATACCAGGCATGAAGGCATATAATCTGACTAATATAATGTGTTCAGTAGAAATGATTGTAGATCATATAGAGACCAGAATGTGTAGATAAAAGGAAACATAAGTTCTGATATTTCTTTAGTGTTGCTAAGTAGTTAGTTTTTGAGAAGGTAGAATCCTAGGAACTATGTTATGTATGAGTTGTCCTAACAGATATTGCGAAAATGTACAATGCTCTCCTTTATTTGTTTCTTTTCTTTCTTTTTCTTCTCTTTTTGAAAACTAATAAAAGACATATTCAAAAAAAAGGAAAAAAGAGCCATTTAATTACTTGACAACTCACTCACCCTCCTCAATCTTTGTTGGTCATGGAGGAGATGCTGCCGAAGGGCTGTCAGGCCTATCACTCTGCTCCCACTGACAGGGAAGGGAGTAAATTAGATGTCTTGGGAAGAAAGTTATATTATTCAGCAGCCTTGGGCGTAAGATTGCTAATTATGAAACCTTTATGGCTGGCTATCAACTGTACCTGTGGGAAAGGATTCTTCCATTCCTAGAACTTTTACCTGAAGATAAGCATCCTCTTGCCAAAGTCCTCCATACAGAAGCTATTAAGTTCTCTAAGCAGCAAATTAATGCTGGTTGACACTCAGCAGGTTCGGCAGATTCAGCAGCTAGAGCCATGGCAAGCTCCGTTGTTTTATGGAACCATGCCTGGTTGAGATCTACAGCTTTGCCTATGGAGACCAGTCGAGAGCTTTTAAAGGGTCCACGCTGTTTTCTTCCAAAACAGATGAGACGGTCTATGATTAAAAAAATAACAGACAGCTAAGTCTTTAGGAGTTTCAACTTCATCCACGTCTCAGTTTAAATGACTTTTTCAGTCCCTCATGGTTGCAGCATCCTAACCCTAAGCTATTTTATCAGCAGCAAGGCTTCCATAGATGGAGGATGGATGAGCTCTAATGGAAGAGCTCTAATTGGCTTAGGTGCAGTTCTGGAGGCCTCAGTTCAAAATGAATGTGGACAGAATGGAGAGGGTGCAGAGGAGAGCGACAAGGATAAGGATGACGAGGATGATCAGGGGCCTGGAGACCAAGCCCTATGAAGAAAAGCTGAGGGACTGGGGAATGTTTAGTCTGGAGGAGGTTGAGGGGGGACATCATTGCTCTCCTTAATTATTTGAAGGGCTGTCACTTAGAGGAGTGCAGGGAGCTGTTCCTGTTGGCAGCAGAGGATAGGACTTGCAATAAGGGTTTAAATTACATGTGAAAACGTACCAGCTGGATATTAGGGGGGAAATTACAGTAAGGGTGCGTTCAGACGCGGCGTTTCAGCCGGCATAAACTGCATCGGTTGGAACCAGTGCAGTTTATGCCGGCTGAAACGCGATCACACTCACTACCACTTCGGTTGCCCCTCCAAGTAGAAAAACGGGCTTTCTTGATCTCAGCCTGTCCTCGGCAAATGAGGGCTGAAAAGTCACAGAGGGACGGGGGTGCGTGTCAAACTGGAATCAAGAGTTCAACGACTTCATATGGGGGGGGGCATTCCTAGTTGGAAGATGGGGCAGAGGGAGGGATCCAGACGCCCCTCCCCTGGGGTCTTCTCGGATTAAGAAGAGGTCGGATCCATGCCCTTTTCGGATGGTGCCATTTCTTCTGAGCTTAAAAAAACAACCTCCAAACTGGAGAACACATTTTTCCCCTTGTGCGCCTTTGTAATAAATTCCAACCCGACAGGAGGGGGTGGGTGGGGAATCCTCCTCCTGCCCCCCAAGCCCCCACCCCCTGCCTTGCGCACCCCACACTTCCTCCCCCCCGAACTTTCCCCTTCCTCCCTCCCTTCCTCCGGGAGCCAGAGATTCACCCAAGTCACTCCGGCGGGGCTCTTCCTGCCGAGGGGAGAGATCCTCCAGCGCTACATCGCTCTCCACCTCAAGCGCCCGTCCCACTCATCGCCTCTGCCGCCGCCCCAGCTGCAGCCCCGCTTTCCAGTAACAGGCATTCACACGCTCCTGCCCCTCTTCTCGAGCCCAGCTTCAGACGGAAGTGCTGCTGCTGCTGCCTTTCCCCCTCTACCCTCCAGAAAGAAGCGCTGCTCTCCAGGCACTGCTGGCCATGGCCCTTTTTTTTTTTAAACAAACACTCAGGGCGAAGCTTCGCCCAAGCGCACATCGCATACTTTAAAAAAAAAATGGCGGGGGAAAATCGGAAGCCTCAGGCTTCTGAACGGAAGTGGCTGTACAATGTTGGAGAGCATTCAGATGGGGGAATACAGCGATTACAACCATTGTACTCAGGATACCACCACTTGGGGACCTAGTGGCAGAGTACAACGGTGTAAAGCTGTTTACAATGGTTAGGGACGGAAGGCAGATGTTCGCCGTGTGAATGCCGGTAAGTACACCGATTCCAACCGGCACCTAAACCGTTGTAAATGCCCCGTCTGAACGCACCTAAGAGTGGTGCAACAGTGGGATCAGCTGCCTAGGGAGGTGGTGAGCTCCCGCTCACTGGCAGTCTTTAAGCAGCAGGTGGACAAACACTTGTCAGGGATGCTCTAGGCTCATCCTGCATTGAGCCTAGACCCTTATTCAAACCCTTCTTTGGATAGTCTTTTTGTATTGTACGCTGGGGTAGCCAACCTGCTGCACAGATTCCACAAGTAGCCCCAATCGGCATCAGTTTGTGGCATGCGAGGACAGGAGCACCAACATTTATGGGCCTGCTACAGCATAATCAATGTGGGAGTTTATTAACCCAGTCATTGCATGGCAAATAAAAATAGAAAATTCTCCCCTCTTGTGTCTCCACTGCTTCAAGCATTACTGCTTGTTCTGTGGCTCAGCAGGCTAGTGGCAAAGGCATGAGCAAAGGAGGCTTCGTATGCACTCTAGTGAGTACTAAGGGAGCATTATATTGGACTCGGCTGGTAGCACACTTGAGCCCAAGAGTTTGGCATCCACTACTGTACAAAATTTACCTGATGAACAGACTTTAACCTATAAAGCAGAATCATAAGTTAGCTCCTTCAGGGCTGATACAATCTGCTGGACTACCAGTGAATGGTTCTCTTAACATTTCAGGCAGGGATATCTACAGCCCCATTCCTGGAAAAACGTTTGATAGAGACCATCAGCATGAACAGCACCTGCTGTATCTCTAAGCTATGGCCCCTCTCAAAACATGCTTGCAGATACAGCCAATAATTTACAGTTCTTTCAGCAGCTGATCAATATTAATAGACAGAGTTAAGTGGCAAGCACTGTATTTGGCTACCCAGAAAGATGATTGTTTTGTAAATGATACAGTGAGAAATACAAAACTCTGTCACAAAGAGTTAGTGTTAAACCTCTTTGACATTACTGTGCATTTTATTGGCATTTTACTGACATTTTTGCTGCAGGTATTTTTTAAATCACTTTTTTTTTCTAGCTGCTGTAAAAGCCTTCAAAGATTTAAGACAGAAGCCAGCTAGAGCTGTTTCTTTGGAAGAGTATAAATCGGAAGAACAGCTTACCAAACAACCTGAGGTGACCCAGCATTCCAGTAGCAGTGAATGTAGCCAAATGTTTAAACAAGGCAAAACAGAGGTGAGAGAGAAGTCAGACACTGACAAGGGAAAGAAGCAAATTTGTAAGAAAGAGAAGCAGAAACCTGTGGACAGTGGAAAAAAATGGGCCTCAGTTGATTCTACATTGGAAGCTTTCAAGCATCATAAATTAGTTCCTAAGAGTCAACTGGAAATGACAGTATGTCCAGAAAGAAAGAAATGTCTAGGTGATCTCCTTAATGGGTCAAAAGATGAATCGGATAGTGATGCAAGTAACACTGAAGAAGATGCAGGAGAGGAGTACTTTGATGATAGCACTGAAGAGAGATTCTATAATCAGTCTTCTGGCTCTGATGAAAGTGATGATAATGATGATTTCTTCATTGGCAAAGTAAAGAGGATGAAAAAGAGAGGAACAGCGGATCTTTCATCACTTGCCAAAGATAAAGTCAAGAGCATGGTGGTAAAAAAAGCAAAAGGTTCACAATCTGACACAGTGCAAGATCCAGAAATACAAGGCAACTGTCCAAATGCAAAAGTCAGGAAGCTAGAATCTGTATTTTACACTTCATTGTCCAACTCTAAACAGAAATCCAAGAACGTAAAAAGGTAAGGCTTTACATTTTAAAAATATTGTTGGCAAATTTGGAGTGAGTTGGATGAAGAATGCTTGGCTTCTTACCACAGTGGTTCAGTCCTTGTTATTTTCCTAACTGCTCTGTTTTGATCAAATTGATCATTTTAAGATTTTCCTGGAAGAACTACCCGTGTAACAGCATCACTGACTGGTTTGGGGAAAAGTGCAGTCTATTTATTTATTTATTTTATTCATTTAATTCATACCTCACCTTTCTCCCCAGTGGAGACCCAAAGCAGTTTACATCATTCTCCTCTCCTCCATCTTATCCTCATAACAACCCTGTGAGGTAAGTTAGGCTGAGAGTGTGTGACTGGCCCGAGATCACCCAGCAGGCTTCCATGGGACGAGTGGGGATTTGAACCTTCTTAACTACTATACCACACTGGTTCAAAGCATGCAAAGCCTTATTTAGGACAGGGCCAAAAAATCAGTTTGGTTGTAAGACTGATATCTCCCTTATAAATAAAAGCCGAATGGTGGTGGCACTTCTCTAGAACATTCCACACGCTCCAAAATCAGTTCGCTCTCTGATCTGTCATTCAGAGGGTCTCCCTATCCACTGGCTGCTTTGCCTGAGTCCTGCCTCCAACATTCTAAACATTTTGCTGTTCCCCCCCCCCCCCCCCCCATAGCCAGTCAGAACACAGAGGTTATTTGCATATGCAGCCTCCTTGGCCTTTGCCTCGGAACACAGAGGTCGTTTGCATATGCGACTTGATTGGCTTTTGCCTCTAACATTCTAAACAGTTTTGCTGTTCTGAGGTAAAATGTGTCTAATCTCCAGGTGAGGGCTGGAAATCACTCAGAATTACAACTGCTTTCAGACGGCAGAGATCAGTTCCCCTGGAGAAAATGGTGGGCTCTGTATCCTTATATGCTGCTGAGGTGGCCCCCATATGACAGCCAATGTGACGTAGCAGTCAGGGCTTCAGAGCACAGGAGAGGCTGCAGGTGTGTGGGGGTGGAAAGCTGAAGAGTGAGGGGGAAATAAAGGTAGTTTGATGATTGGCTGGGCAGGAGATAGGGTTGCCAACTCCAGGTGGGAAATTCCTGGAGATGTGAGGAATGGAGCCTGGAGAGGGTGAGGTTTCAGGAGGCGTGGGACCTCAGACAGGTACAAAGCCATAGACTCCACCCTCCAAACCAACTATTCCCTTCTGGGGAACCATTGTTGCCAATCTCCATGTGAGGGCTGGAGGTCACTCAAAATTACAACTGTTCTTTAGGTAGCAGAGATCAGTTCCTCTGGAGAAAATGGTGGACTCAGTGTCATTATACCCTGCTGAGGTCGCCACAGCAAATTGACACTGAGTGTCCAAGGCCGGGGCACCCGCCCAGAGCCTCTTTCTAGAGGTCATTGTATTTATTTCCACAATGGGCCTTTTTCCTAGTCTATAATAAACCATAGCTTTTGGATTGATTTATGTGCTTTACATTCATCTTTATTTTATTTCTTTTAAAACATTTCTATGCTATCTTTCCACCCAAATGGGGTCCCCAAGGCAGTGAACATCAAAATATTTTGACATTTAAAGAGCATTTTAAAAGATAAGAGTATACAAAATACATAAATAATTCAACCTTATTGTTTACACATCATCAAAAGTAATTGCAAACAATGTGATCTTGACTTTTTAAAGTTAAATATGGGGAAATTGTACACCTTCCACTCAACTACAGTAGCTTTTCCTCCTCAGTCAGTTGACTTTCTTTTCTTTCCTAGAACTCCTAGAGACCATCTTTCCAAAAACAAAATGATGGGTAAGTCAGATTGCTTTTGCTTTTCATTTTGGATTTGTAGCACAAAAATATGGTTCTCAGTAGAAAACCAACAACAACAACAACCAGAACTGTGAAACAAATATAAAAATAGTAAAAATACCATCCTTTATATTGTTTTCTTATATGTCTAAGTAATCCAATTACAAGTTATGTAACCAAAAGACTGTTCACTGAGTATTATAAGCTGTAACAGTATAAACATGAACAGAGGATAATAACTCTGAAGTAGTGAGCAAACCCTGATTTTTTTTTTCTGCAGGTAAATGCTACTCCTTTGAAACAATGACTCTGAAGTAAACTCAGAAATACAATTCCATATATACATCTGCAAAATAGTCCAACAGTAATCTGCTATGGAAGCAATCTTTCTTTAAACTTTGAGAAAGCTTTGAAGTGAAACATGGAGATATTAGGCTGGCTTACATGTTGGGAAAGAGGAAAAGAAGCCAGGAAAACCTACAAACATTATTGTTTGCCTATTTTCCCCCGCCAGCACATCCCGGAAGTGACGCGCTACATCGATCACGTTTTCCCTCCGACGATCGGGGCCACGGCCCCAACGTGATCGACGTGATTGCGTCACCTCTGGTGACGCAGCCACGCTGCGCTTCGGGGGGCGGAGTTCCCCCTGGGGCCCAATTCCATGGCGGCGGAAATCGGGCCGCCAAAGCGGGGGGGGGGTTACCCGCCACCCGCCCCCACTTGGCAGCCCTACTTGTAGCTAGGGTAGATTTATTATTTGGAGTCTTTTAAAATAAAATTCTGAAGTTAGACCATCAAATAGTTGAATTACTGTAGTTACTTCTTGCAGACTTATTTTTTCTTCCATTAACAATTTAGCATCCTCAGTTAATTTAAGCATCTTAAGGTTATTTTTAATTTTTTTTAACTCCATCAGCATTTGAGATACCTCCATTGTTATAAACTTTGATAATACTCAGTAAAGGCCTTAATAATCAAACTGTTATTTGATACAGTTGAACCATCTCTCATTTTTATTCCTGGAACTGTTTATTTAGCTTGTTTCTGTTTTAATTTTGCAGCTAATAATTTTCCATCTTTATCGCCATTTTCCCAAAAAAAACCCTTTGTTTTATATAAAGCATCTTTTTATGGAGGAACAGTACATCAATCTGTTCAGGTTTATATTTCTCTGTGTTAATAAATCTCCCAGCTGAAATTCCAGAAAAGAGGTCAAAAGAGTGGCAGCTGTTAAACACTTTTATATGGGAGAAAAAGAAACCCAGGATACGTTATTGTAACATGCATGATAAAAATTAAATGGTGGTCTAGAGATTCCTAATCTTAAATTGTATTATCAAGTTGCTAGAGTAAATTGTTTGAAAGATTGGTGATTCAGTACTGGCCTAAATATTATGAATATGCTACTTATCTTCCTATCACCATATATGTGTTATTACTTCTTTCCTTCGCCTGTTTTCTTTGTGATGATACATCTATTTTTGCATTATATTTAATAAATTTTATTTTTAAAAAAATTAAGAAATACTGACCTAAATATGCTATCTTTTGTAAAGGGACCCTTGAAAAGCTGGCCTTGGGTGAAGAAAGAAAATAGAAAAAAATACTATAATAGTGATAGTACAATTATAAATGTAGTAAGTGTGTGGGATCAAGTTAAAAATAGATTGTCACTAAGATTTTCTCCTTTAGCATCCATTATGAGTGATATGATTGATGAGGTAAGCCAGGAGTTTTTACCTTTGAGAAGATGGGAATTCTCAGGTTCTACTGTTTATGGCAGTATGACAGTTAAGAACCAAGTAATTAACGTTTAATGAGATTAAATATACTTTAGATCCTAGACTTTCACTTCTTGAATATCTCCAAATTAGAAGCTACCTTTGCAGATTGATACAAAAAAATATGCTGTATTAAGACCTGCAACAGATTTTGAGAAATTACTACTAGCAGATGGTAAAAGTATCCTTTCTAGTATGTACTCCTGTGTATTGAAAGCGGTCCCGGCCACCGCTGGTGGCCTTGCAGCTCCACTGGTGAGCCCCATGAGGGGCCCGGCGGTGGACCTGCAAGGCCGGTGGGAGTGCAAGGAAGCCCCGCGAAGGCCCTCCCTGGCCCCAGGCAGGCAGGGGTGGGGAGAGGCAGGGAGGAAGCAACTTACCCTCCCTCTTCTCCGGCCTCCTCCTGGCTGAATGAGGGCCGGAAGCAGGGGGCGGGGCTTCGTTGTGTGCCCCGCCCCCCGTACCTCACCCGGGGGAACTGCGTTCCTCCGCGTCCCCCCCCCCCGAAATGACCTCTGCATTTTGTATTTTAATTGAAAAACTGACAGGAGTCTCCTGGACCATTAGAAGGAATGGAGCTTTGTATCTAACCCAGTTGTAACTCTCCTAGTTTTGTGAAGAATGTTTACATTTATAAAACTGAAATTTGTATAGTCTGTTTTAACCGTTTCTTTGCCATTTACCTGATGCTGTGAAATTATTTTCGGGATTAAATTGCTACTACTATTATCCGTATTTCACAAATGGCTAATTAAAATGAAAACTAGCTTCCACTTGGGTGTATTTGTCCACTTATGTTTAGTTTCCCATATAATTATTTTATTTTGATTATGAACTACATTCTCCATCTAAAAAACTTTAGCTTATAGCAAAATAAAGCAAAGTCCACTTTAACTGTAATAACTGTTTTCTGTTTATATTTGGTTTTAGACAAACTCTATTAAATATTACTTTATATTAGGTTTGTTGGTAGTAACATCACACTGTTCATTCTTGCACAGTTTTTGAAAGAAAATGCCCAGAGAAACAGTTGCCCAAACGTGGAGGTATAAAGCAAGATCTTAAGGGAGGACAGCTGGCACAACCCCTTCATCCTTCATGGGAAGCAAGCAGGAAGCGTCGAGAGCAGACTTCTCAGATCACAGCATTCCAAGGAAAGAAGATTATATTTGAAGACTAATTTTTTTCTTGTAAGTCCAAACTGCTGTACCTATAACATAGCTCAGAGAAAGGAACTTTGCCTGCCCAAGGCCACTTCTGAAGATCAAGAGACCCTTGTGATCAGCGTCGGAAGTGTTAGAAGCCAAGAGCTTGCCGAAGAAAGGAAAATCCCCAATTTTTGCAAAGGGTTTTCAAAGGAGAATGAGGCTACGTGTGGAAAAGGAGTCAGCAACATTACTTTCACAAGCTCTGTTCTCTTTGCTGTAGTTAATATCCAAATTATGTAAGATATTTTTATGTGGTAATTTTCATTTTTCTAACTTTGTTGTATAAAGTCAGTACTAATTGTGAAGTCACTGGGTTGGTTCCGGCAGCCTGTGCTAACTGTTAAGGATCTTCCCCACTTTGCTCTCTTCCCAGCAGCCCTTTCTGACCCCACGATAGTTTGTTTCCTGGGTTCATGGAATCCATGTGGATGAATAGCCATGTGGGTTAAGAGGTTGCAGTGGAGAGGGTGCAAAGAGACGAAATTTCCCATGTTGCCTCTTTCCCCCTTCTCATTGCAGCCCACTGACGCACATGGTTCCCACAGTCCCAGGAACAAACTTTTTTGGAGTCAGAAATGGCTGTTGGGGGGAGGGGAAAAGATCAGTAATCCTAGTTTTGGATCCAACCCAGTAGCTGTAAGAGGCTTTCTTTTTTTAATAGTTCTCTTGGCACATGTCTCTCAGCAGGTCTGTTTTTAAATGACTTAAATGGATATTGCATGAAAAGTGACATGTTTGTTTCTTGGGTGCCGGTCTTTGGAAATCTTATTGACAGATGTCGATGTATATATATACACTTTTTGTACTTAAGGCCTTGTACCTTCTGATTTTTCTAAAATGTCATTCTTCATACGTATCTTTAAATTAAGGCAGTAATTGGCTTCCCAACAGGTGAATAAATTCTTACATATTTAGACCTAAAGAATCCTTTACCTTGGCTGTGAACTCCTTTCATTTGATCAGCTGCTGTACCAGAAGATTGGAGAGTAGCAAATATGACACCATTTTTTAAAAAGGAGGAACCAGGAAATTATAGACCACTCACCCTAACATATATCCAAGGCAAAATAGTAGAAACTGCAATCAAATATAGAATTATTAAGCACATAGAGGGACAAAGCTTGCTGAGGGAAAATCAGCATGGCTTTTGCAAAGGAAGTCCTGCCTCACCAACCTTTTGGAGTTCTTTGAGAAAGTGAACAAGCATGTAGACAACAGTGACCTGGTAGACGTTATATACCTGGACTTTCAAAAGGCTTTTGACAAGGTACCTCACCAAAGATTCCAGAGTAAACTTATCAGTCAAGGGATAAGAGGATGGGTTCTCTTATAAGAGGACAGGTTCTCTTATGGATTAAAAACTGACTAAATGATTGGAAGCAAAGAGTAGGAATCAGGAGACAGTTCTTAACAATGGAAGGACGTAAGCAGTGGGGTCCCACAAGGATCATAGAATGTTAGAGTTGGAAGGGACTTCACAGGTCATCTAGTCCAACCCCCTGCACTCTGCAGGAGCATAGCCGAAACATAGCCATACAACATACCCTAAAGATGGTCGTCCAGCCTCTACAACATACCCAAAAGATGGTCATCCAGCCTCCACTTGAAAATGTCCAGCAAAGGAGCATCCACCACCTCCCGAGGCAGTCTGTTTCACTGCTCAACCACTCTTACAGTTAGGAAGTTTCTCCTAATATTTAGTCGGTATCAACTCCCTTGTAATTTCCACCCATTAGATCTAGTCTTGCAGTCCGGAGCAAGAGAGAATAGATCTGCTCCATCTTCTACATGGCAGCCCTTCAAAGATTTGAAGACTGCAATCATGTTCCCTCTAAGCCTTCTCCTTCCCAGACTAAACATACCCAGCTTTTTCAGCCTTTCCTCATAAGACTTGGATTCCAACCCTCTCACCATCCTGGTTGCCCTCTTCTGGACACGCTCGAGCTTGTCAACATCCTTCCTAAAATGTGGTGCCCAAAACTGGGCACAGTACTCCAGGTAAGGCCTGACCATAGCAGAATAGAGCAGAACTACCACCTCCCGTGATCTGGATACAGTGCTTCTGTTAATGCATCCTAAGATTGCATTAGCTTTCTTCACAGCCACATCGCACTGCAGGCTCATGTTTAGCTTGTGATCAACCAGAACACCTAGATCTCTTTCACATGAGCTGCTGTCAAGCCAAGTCCCTCCCATTATATATCTGTGCCTTTGATTTTTTTATACCTAAGTGTAGGACTTTGCACTTATCTCTATTGAAATTCATTTCATATGTCTCAACACACTGTTCCAGCCTATCTAGTT